TTACTCTTGTACCAGGTAATTTCATTAATGAATTATAACAATCATATGCATGGGAAAATAATAACACTTCATCATACACAACCTCTTAAAGAACCAGACATAAGAATGCTTCCCAACTCATAACATGAAGCCATTTTAACTCAGAGACTAAAATCAGGCATGGACAATACAAGAAAAGAGTATTATAGCAAGAATGTCTCATGAAAGTGAATACAAAAATTCTTTACAAAATATTAGCAAATGAAATCCAGCAGTAAATAAAAAATGTCAATATATAGGTTTGGGTTTTCCAGGAATGCGAGGTTGGCTTACTGCAGGGCATTTTACCACATTACAAATCAAAAGAGAAAAGTAAAAATATTTGGAAAAACGATTCTCAATCTTAACTTCATATCATACATAAAATCCAATTTAAGATGCTCATAAACCTGAGTGTAAAATTTATAAATTTTGAGACTTAAAGAAAACATAAATATCTTCCTGACCTTTGAGAAGAAAGCTTCCTAAAAGAGCCATAAAAATAAGACTCACACAAAAGACAATTAACTTCATCAAAAAACGTTTCTCATTGGGGAAAAAAAAAAAAGCACATCATCCAAAAATAGAAAAAAAATCACAAGATGTATATCTGACAAAACAAAACAAAACAAATGTGTCCAAAATATTTTTAAAATTTTCTGCACTGGGAAGTAAATGTAAAAATACCAGCAACAATAACTTTTACCTTAAGACTCAATAATCCTACTGCTAGGTAGTTGTCCAAGAGAAACAAAAACATATGTACATGGCTGTGTTGGTGCATGCTTGTAATTCCAGTTACTTGGAAGCCTTGGGCAGAAGGATCTTATGTTTAAGGCTAACCTGAGCAACTCAGGGAGACACTATATTGAAATAAAAGGACTGAGGATGTACCTCAATGTTAGAGCACCTTTACATTCAATCCTTGGTACTGCAAAATAATAATATGTGCACCAGAAACCTTTTACCAAGAATATTTATGTCTGCTTTATTCATAAGTACACAATTATAATTTCTTTCCATTTATTTACTTATTTGTCTATTCATCTACTTTGGGTACTGGGGATTAAGCCCAGGGCCTCATGCAATGATAAGTACGTGCTCTACTACCCAGCTATCAAGCTACTAAACTCTGCAACTATCTGAATCTCAAATTATTCTGAGCGAAAGAATCTCAACATAATTTACATGTTGTATTATTACATTGAGATGATTTCTAAAATCATTAAAACTAATCTGTGCTGATCAATGATCTGCTTATATGTAAGTAGCATGGTGGTAGGGAAATGCAATTGTAGTGGGAAGGAGCAGAAAGTTTCCTTTTTGAGATGATCATTCCATATGTGTCTTCATATGCACTCTTCAAAACTGATTGAAAAGAATCCTTATGATCTGAGTGTTTCACTGAACGTCACTTTTAACTCAGATCTTAACAAATTGACACTGAATGACTAAGTATTTGAACATTATATTTCACCATGTATTCAGAATAGGTTAAGAATATTACAAGAGAAACAGGAAGTTGAGTTATTTATGATAGTGAGTTCAGCAGAGAAACTGGACTCAGTAGCCCTGTTGAATGTGTCAGACTAGTGTGCCCACCTGTATTGGGACAGAACAGAGTAGTGAGTAAAGAACTTTAGGAAACTTCAGGAAAAAACAGCACAGCAGAGAGATTTGAGGAAAACATAACATTATCATTTTAATAAGCCTCCAATTCCAAATCTTCCTAAAAGGAATAAATCAGTTTTATCTGTAGAATAACATATTAAATATGCTGCTCTTTCAGTAGCTCCATCTCCCTTGCCCCTCAAATTTCTTTCAATCACTTGCCAAAACCTAAGTTTCTATGAAATAAAAGGAAATAATTCTTTTGCTTCACAACTTCAAAATAAAGGTTTTAAAACTCTTACTACAAAATAAAGGACATAAAATGCAAATGCGTGGTTAAGATAATAGTTTAGGATAAAGGTGTTTTATTCCTGTATAATCAGTATATAACTGCAAATAATTAGGTACTGATCCTTCCCATTTCTGGTAATGTAGAAAGACAAGAGACAGTCCAATTCAACACACATTATTGAGCATGTAACATGCTAAATCAGTGGTTTTCAAGAAAGCTTTCGTGACTCTGACCTTTAGTAAGAATTGTAATTTATATTGCAGCCTTGTATGAGTGTACATTTATGTAACTAAAGCATTGTTATAAAATCTGACATATTAATGTTAAATGAGATGCACTTTGATATTTTCTAGTCTAGTATGTTTTGTAGCTACAAAAATGTGGATTGTGATACATAAGTTTCACTACCCACTAATAGATTGTGAATTATGGTTTGAAAAACACAATGCTGTTTTTTCAACTCAAAATGTAATCTGTGGACCAGCCACAGTAGCAGCAGTATCTGGGGGCATGTAAGAAACGGAGAACCTCAAGCAGCTCCTCTTACCTACTGAAGCAGAATCTCCCTTTAACAAAACCTCAGATGCTTCCTGGGACTTTTGTAGTGTTAGAAACCCTGTGCTGGACAACATGAGGAGAAGGCTTGGAACGAATGGAGTCTTGTTGGTATTGTTTAAGACACAGATTATCACTAAGGGACTGTCCGCTTTTTAGAATGTGCATATCCAAGTCCCAAACTTCAGTATTTCAGTTAATTCAGTATTTCCAAGAATATTACAAGACATTTATGTTAAATAAATAAATAAATAAATAAATAAATAAATAAATAAATAAATCTGCCAGAACTCTTAGCTCCAGTTCTAATAACCATTGGTCCACAAGATTAAATGAAAGCTGGGCACTTTTTTAATTGCTTGTGCTTTATAAACATGAAAATCTGTGCTTCAGGTAATATGGAAAGATTTTACTATAGTTTTCATTGAGGATGACTTCATATAAAGACATTTAATTCCCAAAATATTTATTGATGGGGCTATTGCTATAGCTTCCTCTGGATTTACTTCTCCTCACGAGAAAATTTCTAAACATCCCTGTTCTTCCAATAACTGCCCTTTTATAGAAATGTAATGTGACTTTGGGTAGAAATATTATTATTAGCCCTCCTGAGTTAGCAAAATTCATCCCTGGATTACTTCCAGTAGATCTCGAACCAAGGATCTCAGCGCTAAACAAAATGGGACTGCTCTAAGCAGCCCTCGCTGGTCATTAAGGACCTTCCCATTGCGTTAGTGTTTCCTGAGTGATGGGAAGTTTTAACCTGGAAGTTGCTAATCTTGCTAACACTAAAAAGCTCTCTCCCATTAGCAGCTTCTGTGTTGCATTAATAATAAGAAAGTAATAAAGAATCCAGCCTCAGCTGTTCAGGCTCCCCTGAGGTACGGCCTCAGCTTCCTTCTTATCCCAATGGTCCACTCTAATGGTCTTCCCTGTATTAGAGTAATAGAGTGGATAATAAGACAATTGTTCTCTGTTCTATCAGAGTCTAAAATCCTTTCTTCTTTGGGGGGAAAAACACTTTTTTTTAAAGTCGCCCAAATTCAAAATTATGCCATCAATATTTTTGCAATTATAGTTGACCTATTAAATTTGTAATTTTAACACAAATTAAGGGGTTGTCAAGCACAGAGAAACTAAAGCAATATAACTTCAGATCCTCAGGCACACAAAAAATATATTGTTTTAGAAGACAATAATTCTTCCCACCTCTCCTGAAAGAGCTACAAAACAGAAATCTCTCCTTGAGATTTGTGTCTTATTTATTTATTTATTTTTATTTATTTATTTTGGTATAACAAATCAGTCATCTGCATGGTAATAAATTAAAATTAAGAAGTGCAGTTCTTTGTTTTTATAAATATTAAAAATCCTGTTAATAAACAAAAAAGAAATGAAAAAATGAAGTGTAAAAATAACATTGAATTTGACAAGCTCAGGGTGCATATTTTAAATTATTTCATAAAGACAGGAATTTCTCATATTTTTTTTTTCTTGAAGATATGTGATCTTTGCAGAAGTGCACTTTTTAAAGCCCTCTTAGATTTTAAACATATGTTTTAAAGCATGCAATCTGTCCATGAAATCTGATTATCTTTGTAGTAGTTAGATAGTTGCGATTTTTCACTTGCAAGTAAAGCTACTTTTTCTTTTAATAACATGTCTTTTAATTGGTAAACAATAGTCTGTCACCTCAAAAGTCCAGCTTATTCCTCCCTATTTAAAATACTAGAAATTTTTTATCAGTTGATATCATCCTGTCATGATTTTTGAAAGGTGCATTTTGTAATTAGGTTACATTTTGCCTATTTTTATACCTGTAATTCTGGGGATGGCAAGGGCCAGTATAAATGATCATCACCAGTGACTAAATATATATATTTTAAATAAAATTTATGTCCAAAACTCTAAGAGTAAATCACTATGATTTGCCCTGTCCAATTTTTATGTAAGATTCAAGAAATGACAGTAAAACGAGAGCTGTTTTCTAAAGACTTATAATCAACATATTTTCCCCACAAGTACTTAGCAGTTTGAGGAGGGGAAAGTGGACATATCTAATAAGACATGACTACCTATATAATATTTTAAAAATTATACATGAAAACCTTTGAATGAAAAATGTCTATAATTTAGCAATAAGAGATAACTCAGTAGTTTTCATAAACTAGACGCTAGATTTTTCTTCTACAGAGATAACAGTCTAAATCCTTTTTCATTAAATAGCTCTTTCATATATTCTATTTGCTAGCTGAGCAATTTTTATAAATCCAGTAAACATACTTTTTAGTTACTTTATTTTGCTTTTCAGAAGAAGTGTTGACTACATTCCAATCGGTAGCAAAGCGTTGCTAGAGTTACCCTTAAAGGGGAAGAAAACGGTTGAGAATGATGTTCCTATAAAGCCCTGGTAGCAGACAGGTCCATTGGAAATTAACAGCTTTATCAGAGAACTGTGTCAACATTGTTGATTGTATGCACACTTATCTGCATTTCCTTTGTTTACTTTTTTTCTGTCCTACAGTCCATGAGGGCTCTGGAGAAACCAGTCAGAAGGAGACATCTACCTGTGATATTTGCCAGTTTGGCGCAGAATGTGATGAGGATGCTGAGGATGTCTGGTAAGATGCTGTTTTCAGTCTTAAACAAAATAATGATAGCAATTATTATTTTTTTATTCCATAAACTATTCCCCAAATGGAGACATTGTTGGTATTTTCTTTTCTTTTGGGTTCCTGAGGAGGGTAAAAGTGAGGGTAAAATAGTAGCAAGGAATTTCTGGAACTGAATTAAGAGGTAGGCCAGCTGGGAAGCTATCCAGGGCATTATCTGATAAGGCACACTAAAATATCACTGATTCCCCCTTCTAACGTTTGGCAATGTTAAGATATAATAGGTAAAATCATATTTACAGGAATATCTCTCAGGAAACACCATCGAGAAACAATGTCAGATTGCTGTCTAACTCTGACCAAGTTGCTATAATAAAATAGCCGAGAAACAGAAACTAATTTCACACCATTCTAGAGACTGATAATTCCAAAATTAACGCTTCAAGCAAAAGTTGGTGAGGACCCATTTTCTTATAGACAGCCTTCTTCTCACTGTACCTACCAAGGTGGAAGAAGCACAAGATGACTCTGGGCCTTCAATAAAGGTACTAACATGAAGGTTCACCAAAGATTCTACCTCCTGACACCCGGGCCTTCGAGGGAGGAGGATTCAGCATGTTCACTGACAACACACACTCTGACCACAGCAGTGCTAATATGATTTCTGAGATGGTAAGGTCTGATAACCACAGATATTTGATTTAGGGAATGTGCAGGTGCACATTCATAACTGAATTGGGAAGACACTTAATAAAAAATGACCACTGGCCTTCTCTGTAGGATCAACTTCTCTTTTCCTCCAAGTAATACTTAGCTTCCCTTATAATGATATGGAGAACATATAATCAATAATATTCATTATTTTGAGTGGGTGTCAAAATTTTAGCTTTCTGTAACATCCAGGTGTATTGGCCCTGGCCTGATCTTATAGCAAATAGAACGACCAAAAAATGAGAGTGAGTGTTTTGTGTCTTCATAGTGAAAAGAGAGAGTTAGTCTCTCTTTCATCTCCTCCTCTTTACCCCCTCCAACCCGCTCCCACACACTCTCTTACTTACATCCCACAATGTTCATACAAAACAGTTGGTTGCTCTTGTTTTGTCAATATGTATTTTCCTAGAGCAGTTAACAGGCATTTAATCAAACTTTTGTGAGCGGAAGGAGAAATTTATCTAAGGGAAATGAAAACAACAACAACAACAAAAATGAAGGCAAGGTAATTTGGACAAGAGGGAAACAATCAAGTTACATTTTTAATGCAAAGTAATATGAAGATTCCATCTGAATAAACTGGGGTACTTGTAGGTAAGCACTGCCATGTAATAAATAGCCAGGTGTTACAACCTTCTATTGATGAAAGCAGATAATGGTAGCATTTCCCTTTCTGTTGACACTTCTCGCCAATGGGCAGGTAGGAGTGGAGTCAGAGTCAACATTCACTGCATGATAATATTGCCATGGACAGATGTACATTTACTGCAGAACATCCTGAGCATCATGTGGTCGGTGGGTTCATGGTTCCAAAATGTAACAGATCATAAAAATTTCTTTAGGAATTTTTTAAACATACCAATTCTTTAATGCTACCTCAAACTTAATGACTCAGAATTTCAGATATCAACTTAAAATGTTATTTTTCTAAAACTTCTCAAATGATTATAGAAACACTGCTCTAAAATAAATGACTAATCCAAAGAATCTCTGACAGCATCAGGAGTTCCACATCAAATTTCAAGCTGTTAACTTTCTTGCTGTAAACTATTTTGCTTTAAAAACACAAATATAAGTTAGTCATTGCCTAAAGAATTTCTTCCATTCTTCTCTTTTCTCATCATTTTAATGATCGTTTCCACTTTCTAAGTACAAAGATTTAAGACATGAGATTACAATATCAGCTAAAAGTTATTGATTTCTTACCATGTGTTTCATTATTTTTACACATTTTTTTCTTGGCTTTCTTCAAATAATCGTAGTAAGTATATTCTATTATTATTTTGCTGTTCGAAGAATAGAACAGGTCTTGAGTTGTCTAAATGATGGGGCCAAGATGAAATATAAGTTGAAAGTAACCAGAAGGTGTTAGCTTGACAATTCACCCAAAGATACAATTAAAAGAGTATTTCTTTCCTGTGGTGGCTGGAATAGTGACATGGCCAGATTGCAGGCAGTGTATTCACAGTAACACTCAGGACCTGCAGATTAGAGCCAGTGATTAGAGAGATGCTTACTGCAGGCAGTGGAAAACCATCCAAGCAAGCAGAGAGTCGTTTCTGATATCTTGCAAAAGTTCAGATCTAAGGTATGAAGGTAGTTCATGGAGATATGGACTAAGCTAGTAGCATCAGAAAAGTTCAACAGTTGACTATAGGGCCCAACTATGGCAACTGGAGTTCAGAAAAAGCAGCCTAGTGATAAACAATGGTAAATGAGAAGAACAAGACAGACCTCAGTCATGGAGGAATTAGGTACCCAACAGGAAAGCAAATCAGAGACTGAAACTGGAAAGACTAGGTAGATATTCATTTAGTGGAAGTGGTATAGAAAGCCAAGTCTTGGTCAGAGGTAGGGAGATGCATAGCCTAAATCTGGGAAGTCAGTTACAAGGTAAAAATGAAACCAGCAGCAAGGCTCACTGGTTGCTAAGTCAGTTAGCTTTTGGCTAGGATATCTTGCATGTCCCCAGCCTAGGGACAAGATTAGTTCTAAAAATTGGAGTAAATTTGAACCTCCAGATGGGGGCTAAGTGACCATAGCTGTGAAGATTAGAGGGCTGCAGGGGCAGGGAGCCAACAAGGTCATTGTACTTCCCAGGCAAGAATGAAAAGTTGTTAGCATTTAAATAAAATGTATTTAAAATATCCAATGTAAGCAATAAAGAACAGTGCTGAGGTGATGAGTGCATTGATTTTCATTTACATAAATATCTTTGTATGTTAGCATATTATATTTAGTTATGACCATGAAGGGCAGATTAGAAACAGCTGAAGGACATAGGAATAAAACAATAAATGAATTTAAATAAGCATGGAATGAAAGAGGCTATAAAGTAAGATAGGAAGTGATACGAGGGTGATCTGACTTACAGTACTAATCAATAGAACTTCCTTGGGCTCAAATACACTGTTGATTTTGAATGAGACCACAGCAGATTCTCTTGCAAACATAAAATACTACATACGCCATCTGGCCACAGAGAATGAAACTCAGTGTTTTGTTTTATCTTATCTTTGATATCAACTTAACTATGATTTTATGCAAATAAATTTCTTCTATCCTACATAAACAAGTAATAATGAGATATAAAGAAATAGTAATAATACTGTTATCATGTCTACAATGCATATACAAAGGTGAAAAAAAATAATTCTTGATCTTTCTTTAACCCTGGGGTAAGAAATTAATATTTTACATTTTGCCACAAGAGCTAAGTCTGGTTACTCAGAATTACCCAAGTACTTCCGGAGTGAAGATAAATATTTGTTAGAATTAAAAAGCCAGTTTGCTGTCATCTGATCAGCCTTCCTAGTTAGATGAGTTTTTGAATTTAGGAGCAAGGCACACTGGAGAGTGAGAAGAAATGAAATAATCACAAAGGGGAGAAAGAAAGTTGAAGAAGAAGAAAAAAATAATAATTAGGGGTTTGCATTGATAAACCAGGATACTAGTGACCTAACATTTAATGCTTTTATTTTGAGAAAACAGATGGCTTATAATCTAATCTAAGACCCAGTTTTTTGTCTGGCGATTTCATTGCAAGGTTCTCTCTTGCCTTTTTCTTCCTATGGGAAGATCAAGGCTTATACAAATCAGAAAATGTTCAGGTTTTCCTAAGAGGAAAGACAACAGACTATTACAAAAAAACTCTTTAGTTATAGATATTTACCTAAATGTTGAAAAAAAATCAAGTTTCCAAAAGAGAGTTAAAATTCAGCAAGATACCACCATATGAAATACCAGAGCATCCTTTATTTAAGACAGACTTCAAAAGCAATTGAAACACCTGTGTAAAGGATGTGCATGACTGTTTTCTGAGGAAGGGGTTAAGGGAAGGAAAAAGGAAGGACTTGAAAAATTGCTTCTCCTTCTATCTAGCCTGAAATGAGTCAACACTAATGCATGTATACATCAAAGAGATTCTCAAATACATCCTTCCAACTAAATTTATAAAGCAATAGAATGTCTTATAAATAAGACAAACATAATAACATTGGTTCATTGTAAAATAGTAAAATCCTATCTGATAGCACTGGGAATACTAAGTTATGATTTCAACAAATATTCCAGATACTAGGTTCATTTTAGAAACAGCTTTATATTCCTTTAATTATCTTACCTGATAAATTATCTCTGTAAGTCTAAAGTAGGTCAGTAGTTAACTCTTTGTACTGGGAACTATTTCTTAGAAGTAATTAGCCTGGAACTTTCTATTGGTCCTGTCAGTCAGAAGTAGTTCAGAGCCCTGGGGTTGATACTTGATTTAATATATTTTTAAAAGCAAGCTGATAGCTGAGTCTGATCACAGAAATGGCTGGGTCTGAAATTGGCGGTGTGCCTAATATTTCCAGGGCATCAGAAGAGATCAAGGCAGGGGGCACAGGTGTAAGAGCAGATGCAGCCGGATGACAAATGATATAAAGGAACAACTTAAATGAGTATGTGTATTTGCTTTCTATGCATCTTTTATAGTTCTTTATCCTTGCTTTAACTTTGCTTTTGTAATATTCTCACATGCCACTCAAATTCCATTAGCAAAATCATATTGGCTTAAATGCTATTAATTTTGCAGCAATCATTAATTTTGACTCTGAAAGCATTAATAATGTTTTCCAGTAGTGTAGTTCTATTCCACAAGTGTATAACATCCTTGTGATCAACTGCAGTGGTAAGAAAGGAGAGAAGCAAGGTAGAGGAAATAAAAGAAGTTCACAAGACAGTAAGCGTCTATTTTTTTTTTTCTCTCACTTTTCTTAAGGGAAAGAGTGCAGTATCTGGCATTTCTTTTGTGAGTG